GGCGGACCCTGTCCCTGCCCGCGCTGCCGGAGCCGGGGGATGCTGCCGCCGGAGCTTTTGGTCCTCACGTGGAAGAGAGGCAGCAGGAAGGAAAAACTGGTGTTTCCAAACCCAGGCAGAAGTGGCACTGTGTTGTAGCGCACAAACTTTTAGTAGAATAAGCGACGAATGTGTCTTTCACCTGCCAGCTGGCGGTGGCATCCTCGCTAGGCGGTTCCATGCCACAAACTTGAATGAGCATCTCAAAACGACAAGCAGATATGTATTGGTATAGGCAGGTTTCTGTCTCTCCTCCTTGAGGAAAGTAGTCCTTGCTGACCGAGAAACTAGATCATCCTGCGTACTCAGGAGGAGGTAGTTCTCTTTGTGTCAGCTGTAGAAAAAAAGCATTATTTTCATATATATGTGCTGCTTTCTGCGTAGTGAGGGAAATTACCGTCTCAAGGTGAAAGGAACTTGAAGGTTTGCTTAAATGTCTTGAGTGCATTTGATAGAAGGTGGCATTTGAAACACCAAGTAGTAGTATTAAATTTTGTAGCTCGGAACTATTGGGCCATATCCTAGAGTTTTTACTCAAACCCATGTTTTTAAACACCAATGTCTGGAAGTTAGTGTATTGACATCAAACACCTTAAGTATTTGGTTGGCTTTTCAGAAACGCTTAACTCCTTGCAGAGTAGGGCCTCTGGAGACTTTAAAAAGGCAAAAATTTCACTTTGGAGCTTTCTACCACTTGTTATGAGATCTGGCCTGTTGTAGTTGTTTTTTACCTGCTGTTTTTTTCCAAATGGTTAATTCGATCACAAAGAGTTCTTAGCTGTAAGCGATAGCTTTAGTTCAAGAGAAGAACTTGGGGTTATTAATCTGAATCCATGCAGCCAATAACCTCTTCCTCTGAGGTAACCAGATGATCAGAAAGTTATAATACTAACAAAAATTATTATGAACCCATATATGAATGCAATTTTTTTCCCCAATATTTGCTGAATAACTTGCCTGGGAAATGGGTCTTAGTTTGGCTCTCATGGTTGATTCTAAGCCTCCTCTTACCAATGGCCCAGAGACTCTCTGGTTAATTTTGTGGCACAAAATATTTAATTATGTGCTGTGCCAAGTGAATGCAAGGTCTCAAATTGAATTTCAGCCTCCCTGGGCAACTATTTTAGACACTTCGGTAGAATGTAAATGCATATTTTCTGCATGCCAGATCCTGGCCCCATATTCATCAAAGTAAATCTTCAGCAGTTCCACTGAAGACTTGGAACAATCCTAAGTGATGTTATTGAGGTCGGATCGTGACCCTGAAGCTCTGGCCGAGACCCAAACCAAGAAATTTGTGTGGGAAATTGGGGAGGGAATAAATTAGCACTTGCCTATGCTTTTTGTGGGAGTAAACTGTTGCAAAGGTGTGAGCTAAGATGAAAGCTCCTAATCGTGGTGGATATTGCTTTCCAGCTGTTTCTGCTGGAAATAGCTCTCTGTGTGTGTATGGGACGGGTCCTTATTTTCTGACGGTGCTCTGTCTCAGAAAACAACGGATTTACTTTTACTTCCCCTGACTGTCCCTGTCCCCCTCACTCCCTCCAAAGAAAAATCACTTAATCTTGTGAAAGTTCAGAGGTAGGTTCGAAAACCTTCATTTTCTCTTTCTGCTGAACTAAAGCAGCAGGTCTAAATAGTATTAGGTAATTGTGGTTGTCATACTGAACATTGTACTGTGGAAAAAATTAATTGCTGTTTTTTCGCCCGAGGGTTTAAGCAGTCCCTTCGTCTGCCTGGGAGCATGACGTTTTCCTCCTGATTGAGACTCTGTACCATCGAGCAGCATGAAAGGATTCCTGTACAGCTGCGCTGGGTGAGTGGGCGGGCATCTCATTCAGTAATAACATCTAATTTATACAGCCATGAAAATCTACAGCTATAAATAAACAGTTCTGATTGACTTTGCATACTTGCTCAAAATAAAATGAGAGAGAGAAACAGACTGGAAAGAGAAATCTAGTGTAAATGTTGTAAAGGCCAGATCCTTACTCAGAGTACCTCAGTAAAGCCTTTTTGAAATCGCAAGGAAAATGTTGGTTTGTGAACAACGGCGCACGCTTTCTTCCTCACAGGGCTCTGTCTGTCAGAAAGGAGCAAAGCAAACCCAAGATCCCAGCAGTTGTGTTTTGGGGACAGGCGTACCTGATTGCTTTCCCAAAGCACATGCCTGGGATCCAGCCTCTCCATGCAGGACGTAGCAGAGAGCAGTGCCTCTCCCGAGCCCTTTGCAAAGAAGGAAACAACCCTCCTTGAACCCCTGTAGTCCAGCAGCGCAGTCACCGTGCCAAACCCCAAAGGTAATCCCGGCGTGAGCGGGAGCTGAGGATGAGATTTGCTGTTCAGCTCCTCTGTTTGGACGTGGAAAGAACTACCCATCTGTGTCAGGGCCCAGGCTTTGTTTTGAGTTTCTGACACTTAAACTGTTTGTGCTGGCCTATCAGTACAAAATAAAATAATTTTAAAAGACGGAGAGAAAAATACTCAAGACACCTGTACAGGGAGTCTCCTGAACTTCTCCTCTTCCCTAATTCCATTCATGGTTTTTCTTCTGTCTGTCTCTGAAGTATTTCCTTTTACCAGCATCTTTCAGCTGAATTCTTTCCGTGTTCTCCTTTAGCTGCAACAGAAAAGGAGGGAGCGGGGTGTGTGTGTGATTGCTTACATTCCCCTTGCAAAGTTAGCTGGAGCAAGTTAGCTAGATAAGCTGGGAATTATTGAATGCACGCATGTCTTTCACTGAGTTAACTTAGTTTACAGTCTAGCCCTAGTATGTTAACATCCTAGACTAGAATGTTATCAGGTGTTTAGCATGTGAGAAGAACAATCTTATGTATACACATTTCTTTTCTTCATTGCTCGTAGGCAGCTTGCAATGTGTTTCGTTTTTACTAAGCTCCAGCAGCATTCGAAAGATGAAAATAACACCCCGGTGAACTGTGTGCGCAGTAGCTCTAAGCTAGCAGTTTTGGCAATGAAGATGGAGTTAGACATTTAAGTACTGCAACTAGTTTCAAATCCTCTTTTAAATGCAAGGCTAATAACGGAGATCTTTCTTTTTCACGCTGACCATTAAGAAATGCTGAACGCTACTGTCGGTTTTGCCTGTTTATTGGAGTTTGCAAAGCAGATCTCCAGTCATTTAGATGTTAACAACATGTTGAGGCTAATAACAGAAATCAACTATATTGAGGAAGATTAGTAAACATGTGAATGGAGTGTAATTATATGGCAGGCAGCTTTATGTTAAACAGTGCTTTAAATGAACATGCTTTCTGTCAAAGCAATCATACAGTCAGTATAATTAAGTTACTTTTGCTGCAAGATTAACTGAAACCAAGAAAAAGGAAGAAAGTGTTGCTCTCAGATTTCCTGTTAAAATGGAGGGGAGATATTATGCATATTAATATTCCAGAAAGTTTCTCATTAGAACTTGGCTTCATGGTGAACTTTCTGAGCAGACATTCCTAATTAGAGTCCTTGTTAGCCCAATTTGTTATCTAGCTAGCTTGGAAGTCACAGCACTGTTAAATTTATTCCTCCTTTTAATTTTTTCCAGACTTGATGAAGGGCAATCCAAACAAGAGCTGGCTTGCATTCACAGGTCTTTTACAGAGTGGTGCCAAGCTCATAAGGGAGTTCATTTACCAGTGACGAGTTTTAACCATGGAGACATCCTCACGTACGTTGTGCAAGAGATGAGAAATCTGTGTAAACAGATGAACACAATTTTCTTATTCATAGCAGTTGCAGAGTTATCATGCAAGAGGCAAACATTTAATACTTTCCACCAGGTTTCCATATGTCTGATGACATAATGGCTTCACCAGAAGCTGCAATGCATTGGAGAAAGGATTTATCACAGCTGTATTTATTTTCCTCTACTTCATGGCTTCAGCATTCATGGAGAGATTGTTTGGCTTGAAGAGGAGGATTCACTTGCCTTTCCGCCTGTAGTCCAGTATTACTATTGAATCTCCTGTTTGGAGGCAGAGGAGAAAAGATTATTGGGGGGGTGGGGGGGAGGCACTACAGAGAGGTCTTCTCGCAGATGAAGCGTGCTGTTGAGAGGAGGATGTGAACCTGGCCCCAGCCTCCCAACATCCCTGGGGAACCGAACCCGTCTGGGAGCGGGAGTAAGCCATGAGTGTGTGGCTTGGACCAGCTGCTAATGCTGAAGTGCTGCAGAAGTCGAATGAGCCTGGGATGTCCACAGCGAGTAAGGGATTACTCAACTACTGAGGAATGGTTTGAAATCTACCATGGGCCACATCCATTGAGAATAATGATGCTTTGCTAGTGGGGAAAAAGTATCTGCAACCAAACAAGCCTAGCTCAGTGTAAGAATTTGTGGAAAACTTCAAGAATAAAGCTTGTCTAGAAAGGCAGCAGACGATTAATCCCTGCAGCTGAGCTACTTGGAACATCCTCACATGGCTGGCCAGGACAGAACAGGACCTATTGAAGACCCACAGCTTTCTGAAGCGCCAGCGAGAGACCATATGGGCTACTGTGGGGCACCAAGTGTGGCAATAACCAAATATATTTGGGTACCTTACCTAATGCACTGTCTCAGCCTCGCTTCTTCCCTGTTGATGATCGTTTACTCACAAGGAACCCTCTTTTAAAGGTGCTTTCCTTGTCCATAGACCTCAGAGGCTGTGAAACACTAACTGCTGTATTTTATTTATCTCCAGCCTGCATTGCATTTGGCAATTGACCTGATATGGAACAAAATCCTGTCATTTCTTCCTTCCCAAATGATCCTGTAAGTATTTTGTACTGACCAAATAGATATTTTAAAGATGGGAGAGGAAAAAACCAAAAACAAAACCAAGCAACAAAACCAACAAAACAAAACTACAAAAAAAGACTAGCCTATTAGGCCAGGGACAGCATATTAGCAAGCACCTGTTAATGTCTGGCCTCCAGTGATGAAGTTGTAAGCCCTGGGTTGCACGAGCTTCCGATCCGGTCTGCCTCCAGTGGATCATCAGATAAACTTGTCAGCAAGAGTAGGGCGTGTGACAGATGGTGCAGGTTTCCTTTAAATAGTTAGACGACTCTACCCGAGGGGTAAACTGCAGCTTGGGGGAGTGACAAAGATGAGGGATATAAATATGCCATCACAGGAGTGTGGCACAACTAGGATGAATGGATGAGACAAAAGTAAATATTCGTACTTAGTTTGCAAACTCTGGGCTGCAAATCCTCTTAAATTTGAGCTCCATTCATCACTGGTGATATAGTGAAACTGTAGATATAAACCTTGTTTGTTCACTGGAAGAAATAGATATAGCCTAGACTCTTACTCTTTGTTTTTAAAGGCATCATAGAACCAATGAAGATATCTTCTGGAAAAGAGGCTCAGTTTAAAAATCCCTTCTGGACACTGTGATAACAAAGGGTGGAACCTGTGTCTGCAGAACACAAGCATTTTAGCATTCATACAAAACCTGCTGTTCATACGCCTGTACCAGTACAATGGTAGGATGACTTCGTACCCCACAGGGATGCCCTTTGCAGCCCTTCATTTGCCACTCTGGTTTCTGCAATCTCAACAGCTGGTCGGGAGAATGAGAGCATCGAGAATTCAATCGTATGAGAGTATTCCTGTGTATTGGACAGATTCACGTGCTGTCACATAGGCTGGGTTTCCCAACAGCTGAGTACAGGGTATTAAGGGAGCTTGGTTTCACAAGCACATAAATACAAGAATAAAACCCAGGGAAAACAATCAGTTCCTCAAACATGTTATATGTTTCTGGAAAATGCATTGAATGCAAAAGTACTCCAAAAAGAACAGGAAAAATATGTTAGAGAAGATTGCCATCTAACTGTAGCTCAGCCTTAGGTGACTATATTTCGGCAATGTCTTGGCAAGACACTCAAGAGCTCCCAGAAGATCTAGAGAAGCACATCCATCCATGCCCTGGGCACAAGGAAGTTACTCCACTGTAAGTTTCCTCTTTTTCCTGAGAGCAACAGCTCTTGTTGTACTGCCTGATCCCTTGCTTTAGAGTATTTTTAATTCTGGCTTTGCTCCCTGCCGCCCTGGTGTTCCTCAGCCACCTGCTGACCAAAGCTTTGCCTTCTGGAGGACAGTGGGCATCCAGGTGTGGGTCTGGAGCTGCTGCCTGCTCTGACAGCCAGCCAGCCTCCCTTTCTGCCCCATTTCTCTCCCAAAGGACCGATCCACCACCTGAGAGGGGTTTGCCCTCAGCAGGCATTTAAGTCACTGGTGGAGTGGGCAGCTGTAGCTAGCTATAGCTCCTATCCACCTGCATTTCAAAGTATTGAAATGAAGCAGCTGATGAATGTTGTTCTGTTGTGGGTTTGTTTTTTTTTTTTTCAGATGTCTTAGAAGACAAATGAATCTGCTCTGTCTTGAAATGCTGATACCAGAGAAGAGACCTCACCTGAAATGTTGCTCTGTCTGACATGGAGAACTTAGATCTGAATTTCTCCTGAGGACCTGGTTGTCTCACCAGGAGCAAAACCCGAGTGAAAACTGCTTTGCTTTATTTTTGAGCGTTCTAGTTTGACTGGTCCAAGTAATGTGAGATCAGTTGCCTGCGTGATGTTTTTTACCCATTGGGAACAGGAGAAGCTATCGCAGAGTTCATCTTTGGTGCTCGGACCCCGCAGCCAAGTTCTTGGCTGAGGTAAACTTATGGCAGTAAAAGAATCAGACCATTGTTTCAAATTATCCTCTTTGGAGTTTCTGTATTGCTCAACATTGTGTAGTACTCTAGAAACTCTGGAATTTAAAACAAAAAAAAGTCATTACTGGTACTATTTTCTGTGGTGCTCAGGCTGTGCAGCTGGGTTGCCTTAGTTACCACCAATCCAACTGTGCAAGGGGAGGGAGAGGCACATGAGAGATAATACATTTTTAAAACCTCCAATACTGTATGAAACAGTCTGTCTATAAATAATAAAACAAACTTAGGGTCTGGCATCTTTTGCTTGTTCTGAAAAGGAAAAACAAGGTTATATTTGACAGCCTGGGTTTTCCAGCTCTCAGAAAAGATACTGCATTTTGGTCAAGCACAGGACATAGCTTTCAAAATTACTTGCTTGAAGCTGAAAGCTGCCATCCATAGACTTTGGAATAAGTTGGAACTGAATATACCTTTAAGGGTGAAAAAGAGTAAATATTTATGTAGCCGGTTTTAGGAAAAGTGATAGTGGCCTGAAGCTATAAAGGAACATGGAAGAGAGCCCATACGAAGCATGGCATGCTGTGGGACAAGCTTCATTTGCAGCCTGCAGTCTGCCACAGGATGCAAGTCCAGAAGGAAACCAGGCTTGTCACTCGTGTGGAGCTATTTGTTAATCGCTTCTTGCGCCTTCGAATAAACACAACTTATCTGGGCACAAACTCGGCAAGCTTTCTTCCTTCGAGTGGGAGAGACAGACAAAGAAGCAGCTGCCCCAGAGCCTTTCCTTCTGGGGAGGCGCCTGGTGGCAGCAGCCCAGGCAGGGGTGCCTGCCTCGGCAGAGCAGGGTGGCCTGCCTCGGCAGATGCTGCCAGCATCGGGTCTAATTGCTTGGTGGCTACAGGTGTTACTGGAGAAGGTCTTTCCAGATGTGCCTATAGGAACCTGGGGTACAATCGCATTGCTCTGCAACTCGAACTGTGCCTTTGGGGGACTGAGCAGGAAGCAAAAGAGGGCAGAAGTGCCCTTCCATGTACCCTTTCTTTTGGGGGAGGGAGGAGGTGGGCAGGGTGGAGGGTACGGAGAGATGAAGGGGTCTGTCCTCTGCCACCACAGGTTGTTTTGCTTAGTGTGTGGTGTTTTGTTCTTTTTTTCCTACAGGCTTATTTTAACTGCATCATCTCCTTTATCGTGATGGAAATGTGAGACGGGAAAGGATAGGATGAAAAAAAGTACGTGGAGCCATTTTTGCTGTGAGAAGAAAGGTATGTTGGAATTCAGTTTGCAGCTCTTTTTACTCTGGGAATGCTGAGCCAAAGATTTGTCTCAGTCAGGAACATATTAAGACTCTGGCACGCTGTAATTTGGAATAGCTTCCCTCTGGCTGTGTTTCAATGCTTATTGGGACCTTGTTATCAATACCAGCTTAAGGAAGTCCTACCCTTCTTTTGAGTGGACACAGCAGGGAAACGGATCAGGGAAAATGATCTGATTTGAAAAGAGCCCCTGCTTGCAAGAAACAGGTGCATGTGGTGGAGCAGGAAGGAGCAAGGGGCGGTGGGCAGGAGCTTATTGAGAAGTTATTGCTGCCAAAGTCCCTGTATTATCAGTGCGGAGTTGCCAGCTATTGGGGTGCAGCTTGCAGCTGCTTTTATTGGTGTACAGCAAGTCCAGGGAATGCTGCCAGTCCTGGGGGTGAGGAGCTGAGGATGCATGTGAGGTAGCAGGAGTCTGCACAAACGTGGGGAACTGTAACTTGGGGGGAGTGCCCTGCATGTGGATGAAAATGCCGTTTAATTGTTAAGGCCATGATTTTGTTGCTGCTTTGAAAAATACAAAGTATGCATGGAGAGGCAGACCCACCAAACACAGAAGGCCTCTGTGGATTGCAAAAGCACACCAGATCTCAACAGAGGATATCACGTATGCTGTGTTTATATATACTCTCTGAGGTTACATTCATGCTGTCACACCTGGGGCTGCTTTTCAGCCTTTCCGTGTGCGCAGAAAAGAAAGTTTAGTGCTTGCCCCAGTTTCTTTAGAAATCTCTTACATTAACATCTCTTAAGTGAGTATATTTAGTCAGCTGTTCAAAATGTGTCTAATTTTTGCAGTTAATTTGATCTCTGCTTGGCATGGCCTTTTGTCCCATCAATTAACACCTTGTATATCAAATTATTTTAATTCTGATTATCTCCATCTTATGCATCAGGCATACTCTAGACCTGAAATTACTAATACGTACTCAGTGATGAAAAATCTGATACCTAGATGTATCGGATATCAGATCTCATATAAGGACCAATACTGTCTTGTAGCAATGATGGTCTTTGATTAGTAATAGTTACTATTTATGTGATGCCTCTTAAACCAGAGCTGGTGCAGAAAGGCTGCAGATCTGTTTTCATTTACCAGCAATCCTCATCTCGTATCACGTTTATGCAAGAATAGAATTCAGCCAAAATTTCCAAACATGGACGTGTAGGGCAGGCATCTTATTTGCAAAGGTATCAAGCGGTGAAGTGGGTTATTCAGCACACTTGAAAGTCAATCTGCTGCTTTTAGGTAGCTGAGTATGGATGGTGAGAGACTAGCTACAGACATTCTACTTTGGCTTGACAGGCATGTGAGACTTCACAAAATGGATCAGGCATCAAATGTTCCCTGAGAACAGAGGGAGGTTGTCTTATTTATTTTCAGAGGTGTTTTTGCAACATTTTTTCTTTCATCAGAAAGCTAGTTTAAGAAATTGCAAATGTTCACACATTTGTCCTAAATAAAATACACACGTTTTCCTGACAGAAACACTTTCATCCTCAAAAAAGTTAATCTTGAATGAAAAAGGTGAGAGGAAACCAGAAGGGAAAATAATAATATCCCATGCCAAATCCCCAAAGCTCCTTCATCTGTTCTTTCTTCCACCTGTTGAATGTGTCCTCCTAAACTGCACTTTTTTTTTTCTAACTGCCCATTTGTCCAAGGAAGCTGCTTTTCATTTTCTTTAAATCATGACTGATTATACCACTACCAAAGCAGAAGGGAAATATTCTCAACAGTTTGTGAAACTTTCTGAAATGCTGTTTTACCCATGGCGCCACTGCGATGCTTTCACTTGGATATACTAATGCCTTCCTACAAACTGTCGGTAAACAGAGGCATTCCCTAGTCTGACAAACACCACGTGATGTTGGTGTAAGAATTTTAGCCGGAGAGATTTGGCTTCCCTGGACCCTTGTTTGAGAAGGAATTCAGAATCTAGTGATTATGCTGGTAAGAGGTGCTTCTTGAGCCACATTACAGAAACCTGGCCCAGCCTTTTTTCTGGTAGGGCTGGGATTCTTGCTCCGATTTGTTCTCCGTTAGTAACTGGTTAGGACCTGGCAATCTCTATCAGACACCCAAATGCCACCCCCCAGTGTACAAGGGCCCCCCTTCCTCTCCCCACCTGCCTAGGCAATCACAGGAATTCATTTTAGATAATTTTTTTTCATATGGATAGAAGTGAAAAACAAAACTTGGACTGACCCCATATCATACGGTTGAGGAACTCCCCGAAGTTGTAGAAAGAGATGACGACGGCAAGGCTACCGGCAAAAAAGGCTGCTAGCCCGGCTGGGCTGAACAAAGCAAAGAGAGGATATACCCACTCTCCTGTGACAGAATAAATCCACAGGACCCTGGGCGAGAAGAGAAATGACCTTTGGTTAGGACCATTCAGTTAGAAGAACCACTTCATGATTTCTAACTCCTGAAGGACCAAGTTATCAAAACAATCTTGATAGAGAAAATTAGCTCGGCTGTCGATACATCTCAACATTTGGGCTATTTGCTGTGAAGCACACTTGAGCTGCTGCTAAATTAGATGGGTTTCAGCGCAGGTCGAAATGCACACAATGTTCTGCTGTCACCCTGGTGGCATTGGCTATTAATGGCAGTAAAATAACAGTAAAATAGCAAAACGCTCAGAAAAAGGGATGTGCACTTGGCTATTCTAAGTGAAGCTTATTCAAATAAGCTCCCACATATGTGCTTGCTCTTCAGTTACAGCAGCCTTTCAGCCCCCATCCAGATCTCGAGGGTCCGTGGAGACAAAGTGCAGTTTCTCACTAGCTCTGTCCTGCCGCTGTTGATCACTGGTTTGGGGAGTGGAAAGAAGTTTTCAGGAGGTGAGAGGGCAAGGGGAATTCTCCAGCACCTCTCTTCTTGGTCTGAGAGGAGAAGGAGCTGGTAGGTAGGGAACGTGTAGCTGCTTTGCTCCTTTGTCCCAGAACCGTTTGCAGAGCGCTGTTTGGAAAAGGGAAAGAAGGAAAAGTAAGAGGATGAATATGCCTGCTTTATAGAACTGCTTTTCTTCTACTTAGGCCGTCTCTTTCTGCCTCTTTCTTCTCTCAAAAAACCATCTTGTAGTAGCTGTCAGTTCACTGATACTATTTTCATTGTTTACAGCTCCTAAAAGTGGCTGGTAGCAAATGCATACACTTAGGAATATAAATATGGTCTGTATTAAATATAGGAAAAAATACATTTTTATGGATAAAATTATATATATATATTTGTATTGAATATGTAAAGTATATAAAACAATAAGGCAGGTCTCCAGTGATTGTTATGAGGATGTGCCATTCTAAGGATGGGCAGCACTTCCCTAAAAAGAACTTTTGGGTCCAAAGAGTCCTAAAAGGTTTAATTCTTGATTTGAAAAAAACAGCCACATCTGGGGAGTATGCCATACTTCCCACCACCGGTGCTGGCATGGGAATGCAGTCCCACTCTCTCTGATGGCTCCCAGCCTGCCACCCTGCACTGAGCATCGTCACGCCTCGGAGAGAGGTGACAAACGGGCTGCCCCTCCAGCTTGGAACTGTGTCACGAAACTGAGGAATGAGAGTGCTAAGCAAAAAAAAAAAAGGTCTGAAAAAATTATTTCTCCTTTCTCTAGTTAGAGAAGGAAGGGGTACGGCATAAAAAAGGTGGGGTCTTTACCTTGCCTGTAAAGAGAGATTCACTAATTCCCACCTCAGGGGCAGAGGGGGGGGATTGGTAGTGGAGCTGCCTGGGCTGAGCATGGAAATGTTGAGTGTAAAGACTCTTTTTCATGATTTAAGGTTCTTTCATCAAACAAACAGGGCTGTGAAAGGAGCTAAGCAATTTAAAAAAAAAAAAAAAGCCTGCACAAGAGGCCACAGAGAGGCCGAGCAGAAATACTGAAGACCAGGTGCTAACCGGTGCCCGTGCAGATGTCAGCATGTGTTCTTCACTGCACGGGGCTACTATTTTCTTAATGTGTCTCAAACAGTAAAACGGAGAGTGACAACTGCCTTTATTTTATATAATGAGGAACTAGATTATCCTGATGCGATTTGGCCAGCTGGCGTGCCTCATATGAAGCACGCCAACCCCTCTTTTCAAACCTAAACAAATGACTATGCAGGAGCGCTAAGGCATGTTCAGCTTTCTGACTTGGTGGGAGCTGTGTGTTGCCAGGTTTTTTATTTTGGGGCATACCTCCAGATTCTTGAACTTATTCATTTTGATCACAGAATGGTTGAGGTTTTGGTTTTAGTTCTTTGGGTTTTTTGGTGTTTTGTTTTGGGTTTTTTTTTTGCTAGGGATTTCATAAAGCACACCCCACAACTTGGAAATACATATTGCTCATTCCGTGTGGGTAATCGCCTGTTAAATATACACGCAGGATTCAGAGATTTATTATTCTGAAGACTTCATTTTACCAAATTTCACTTATTACCAAGATTTTATCTTGGATATCATCAAGTGAGTCAGAAGGAGACAATGCCCAGAATTATGGGGAGGATAGATTGAGATAACAGCCCTAGGTATAACTAAAGTTGCTAAAGTGCTGTAGGATAGAGGACAGCTTATAGATATCAGGGGGAGGGGATGTGCTGTCATACTACGGCTGGATGCGACTGGGGGATTTATCCTGTCCTCTCATTACCCATCCATTAATGTTAATGGGGCCGCTGCATTCACTTGCAGGGAGGAAAAAAAGTTTATCTAGGGAATTATTAAATGGGAAGATCCAGAATGGAGAAAAGAACATACTGGCCACATATGAGCTCTCTGAGACTGTGGTTAATTCAAAATTAAAAGGTGGTGAACTGAAGATAAGCATGCAGTGAAGGAAAAATATTTTGATTCCTAACAGAGGTGGAATATGGACATATTACAAGAAAGCCCTGGGTCTCTAGTTTAGGTTTTTCTGTATTTTAGTTTTGTATAGAGTACAATCTATAATGATTTATATTCCCTTGCAAAGGTAGTTTGAACTTTTCTCTGAAGACATGTACGAAATTGTGAAGATTAAGATTTATTTTATACTGATCTATTGCCACTGAAACAGGAAAGGGCAATCTATTGTTACTTCCTTTTTAAGATTTAAAATGCCAGTTCTAAAATTTATATATTCTTCACTGTTTTTGATACGATGACTCCAAGAGTAAGGCATTACTTTAAAGGAACCAGCAGATGCAAGATCCATCCTTGCAAGAATTAACTAACATGCCTAATGGTTCTCTTAGCCCTGGTGTCCCGCAGCTGAAAGCCCCCTTTCCTTTTTGAACACTGGGCATTCAAAGCTGTAGTGAAGCCCCGCTCAGAGGCAGGTACCTGGTGCAAGGTGCCACCGGCTGCTCGGTGTCCCTGCTGCCTTGCTGGGACCAGTCACTTCTCAGCCCATCGATGCTGGGGAAGGGGAAGCGCAGGGATAACAGCGACAGTTCAAGGAGAGGCTTTTAGGAAGGACTCTGTTGCTTGTGAAACACGCGCTATGTTTGAAACACATGGCGCTATGAAATCACCAGGTCACAGCACCAACTGTAAAATGTGTACGCGTGTTAAGATTTTAGCACACAGGCTAAAAATTTTTTCTGTTGGTTAGAAGCTGTTGTCTGCGGTTGCAGGGAATCATTACAAGAAAGTAATAAAGACAGCAGGCAGGACGTTCCTTGCTGCCTTGGGAGGACAGAAAGCAAGAGCATTGAAATTCTAGTATCTTTTATCCAGTTATCAGAGCCCTGGGACAGTGGGGACAAGAGCTCTAAGGGACCGCTTTCCACTCGGGACCCCGGCAGTATCATGCAACATCAATTTGGAGAAGATACTGGGAGGGCTCATGTGTGTTGATACTTGTGTTGATCCTTTGATGAGGATTCAGGTCCTGGCATGAGCCCTGTCTCCCGTGGGGTGAGATTGCTCAGCTGAGAGGGGCTTTAGGGGAAAGCGTGGCACACAGGACTGCAATACTTGCCCAGAGAGCCGTCTGGTCTCAAAGGCAGTAAAAACCAAATGCTGTCAGAAGACAAGCAAAATAAAGCCGGCATTAAGCAACTGGGTGAACCAGAACATAGAAAAGGAATTTAGGAAGCTGTGGTCATAATCGTATTAGGCTCTGGGCTGGATTAGGACAAATGGCTCCTAACTTGGTTACACCATGTAGCAGCGCAGTCCATTGCTTCCACAGCCACTCTGATGGATTTCAAGTTGCAAGTCATCTGTGCCATTTATTTTCTATTCCCAGTTTTTGTTGGTGGGCTGAAGGTAGTCTCTAGCTGAGTGAGAACTGTTGGGTAGTAATGGGAAGGATGGGTTCTCTCGTAGTCCCAGTGACTTCTCAGAAATCTTTGCACAAGGACAAGCCACCTCCCCGCTGACCAGTTGTTCTGTATCCTCCACGCTAGGGCCCAGGTGTTTCCTGAGCTCTGGAAAGTGATATCGCAGTGTACCCTGAAACTGTATGGACCCGTTCCTGAGCAGAGACTCAACATAAGGCATCCTCAGAGTGGTTTGAAGTGTGGGCAGCTGCCCGTAGTCAGATGGAGTGGGCATTGCCTCCAGACTCCGGCACTGCAGCCGGGATGCTGTGAGCAGGAGCGGATGCAAACCCAGCTCCAGGGATGCGTGACACAGACACAGGAGGTGGGTGGATGACTGTGGCCTGGCTAGATACAGTTTATTCTCCCAGGATCGCTCTCTAACAGGTTGTAGATCAACTGTGGTACATTGCTGGAAATGTAGGCGGTGTCCACCGGTGGAGTGGGAGGTGGTAGTGGGGCAGATGCCTCCTTGCTACCCGTCGGTTTGCACCTGGCTCTGAGTATCATTTTCTGTCTCGAGTTTCTAAACCCAGCCATGTGTCCCTGACAAATACCAAACTGAGTTTTACTCCTCCTCTACTCCCGTGACCCCCAGACCTTTGAGGTTTGGTGTTTTTTCAGTAAGCGAGACAGCAAGCGGAGGTAAATTTTATGGTACTAGTAGAAATAAAAAAACCTCCAGCCCAGCAGAAATAACTCAAAGCTTATGGCAATTTAGTTGCTTTTCTAGAAGAGGCATTGGAAAAGCAGGAGATGCTATGTAGGGTCTCAGGATCTGTATTGTGTTTGAAGAAACCTGCTCTGCCTATGTCTGGAAATAGTTTTCATGGGTCTCAGCTGATGTTCAGGTAACTTCTCCACAGAAGAGACTGCTGCCTCCCATGTGCCTGGGAGGGAACTTTAGATTTAAGTACGGCATTTGGCCTTGTTTTACAAAGTAGATCACTTGAAGAAAATCTTTTAAAGTATGCAATTCTTACCAACTGATATACAGAAAAGCGACAAATCCTAATAGGATCAATCCCTTCTTCTTTGCCGGGTAACGGTGTGGCATGGCAAGGATTTCCAGGACAGCAAATAGCAATACAGCCGTGTGCTGAGGAGGAAAGACAGTCCATCACTAACCGGTCGCAGTGCCTCGCCTTCGGTCATTGCTCATCACAAAGCACAAGAGCCTGCCCGTAACCAAAGGATTATTTAACAATACCACATGTAATTGTATACAAATGCACACACTTCATTTTTTTAATAGTGAAGAAGTATCCCTGCAGTAACGAGCTCAGAAATTTTCTTGTTAGTATGCTGTAAAAAGTAGTGTAATGAGCTCTGTCTGTAGAGTGATCTGCATTACTTTATGATAGGTAGGCTTTCCTTTTAGATTTTATAACGCAATAAATTTTTTGGTAGTTCCCATTAAAGAACAAAATATATTGAAGTCTATTGTTATGTGCACTTGAGGATGTCAAATGTCTCCTCCTTGAACTCATTAAGCAATTGCTGAATTGCCTTCATGTTCTGTTCATTCTACTTTATATATTGTCATTTATTATTTACTCCATGGCAGTTGCAGTGTCTCGTGCTTCTCTTTGTAAACTGAAAAACATGGTGGTAAACATACAGAGGACTTAAGTTAGCTGTGAATCAAGACAATGAAGGAACTTCAAACAAGCTTAACCAAGAGTTAATAAGAGTTAGCTTGCCAGAGAAGCTTTTTTTTCTTCTTCTTTTTTTTTTTTTGTCGAAGAGTTTGAGTTGTATTAAAAGCAGCTTCAGTTTCAAGGCCTTTTATGATGATAACTTCAGCACAGGGCAAACAGCTTGGTGGCACTGACTGTTTTGTGGTGGGGAGCTGCCTCCAAGAGGGATGCTCCTCACCATGGGGAGGCTGGGAGCATGGCCAAAGTCCTTCTGGGCTCAGATGTTAAATGGACAATGCGGGGCTCTTGGGATGCTAACACCTCAACTTGTTGGCTGGTTTGTGGCAACTTCGGAAAATAATCTGATGGGGTGAAATTTCACTGCGAAAAGTTTTGTAATACTCCCTGTGCAAACAAACAATAGTTTTAAGTTGCAATACCTAGGACAGAAGACCTAAACAATGCTGGGGAACACCACAGCAAAAACAGTCAATGAGGTGCAAGGGCAGAAAGCTACAGCGACAAATGTAGCTGACTAGTTGTTTAAATTCCTATTAATTAAGCAAATCATTTCACAGGTAGATGGGTGGAGGAAGGCGGGGAGGGCAGCAGAGGAAGATAGATAGACCTTTAAAGACAAAAAACCACCAAACTGATTTTTTTTTGTTTGTTTTTCCCTAAAGGCACAACCTGCTGGGTGTATGGTATGAAGTTTCCTCTTGTCCCAAGGAATTGTATGTATTTGTCAGAAGCTGTGAAGAGTATTTGATATGGTAGTATGGTGTCAAAGTTTTATTGCTGTATATTTATAGTATAAGTTGCCACAACTACACATGAAATTCTTTAGACGCACATTGAGCTACATACAGCATGTGTGAAAACATTCTTCCCCTATTTGTTTAAGGGGCGGGCATCCATTTTTGTCTGCCGCTGCCAAGTGACAGCTCACAGGAGGCTGCATGTCCTCCCTCAGGCCCCCCAGGAGCTGCTATTCATACCTGGCAGTCCTGCTGCCAAAATAACCCTTCCATCTCAGTTGCCATTTTTCAGAGAAAAGAGATAGAAAAGAGTTATTTGATGTTCTGGTTCCTCTCACTCATTGGCACTGAGATTTTCCTCTGTCTGTTTCACAAAGATATTCTTCAGCTCTGCAACCCACTTGGTTGATAGCAGAGGTCTTCTTGTATCAGTAGAAGAGATTCTGGGATTCATTTAACCAGAAAAATGTCTTTGGTGCATAGTTTTCATGTATAATCCCTGTAACTGTCTTTTAGTCAGAAATCTATGTGTTAAGCTGCTTTTAGAATGATTTTTTTTTAAAAAAAAAGTTTATTTTACATTGGTGCTCAATAGTTCGTCTTTGGATAAAACCAAAATGCCCACGCAAGACAGCAATGATGGAATATTTGCACTTTGTCCTCACTTTTAGGCTTTAGCCTTTTGCAGTGGATTTGTCCATTACGCGAAGTGGATATAAGACCTGGTTTTCATCTGACATCCAGTGGGCTACAAAATTCCTTTGGGATACGTGAAATGTCCTTGCTAGTCTTTTAACTTAAACACTTTTAACAACTATAAGCTGGGTGTTCCTGCTGTTTTATTGCTGTCCTAAGAGGGATCTAGTAGGACTGACCTGGTGAAATAATCCTTTGTTGAAGTGAGCAGTTTTTTAGGTGGGGGTTATTTTATATACTTATTTCCTTATTTGGGGGCTTTTTGTTCTCAGAGTGAACATTAAATAAGTACAAGCCAGCAATATGATGCTGCTTTAATAGAAAAAGCGTGTGGCATTCTGGGATGGTATTAATAGGAATATTGTATGTAAGAAAGACCTGGGAAGTAACTGTGGGGCTCCACTTGAATTGATGAGGTTTTGGCTGGCACTCTCTCTGATTTAGGGGACCCCATTTTGACAAGTGCAGGTAATTTGGAGCACGTCCAGAAAAGGACAGCACAAACAGCAAGAAAGTACAAACACGAAAGCAGCCCAAAGACAGGCATGGAAATCAGGACCAAATGCATTGTTGTGTCTAGAGAGGAAAGGAAAATGAGAGAGGTTTCAAAGGCTTGAGAGGCTGATAAAGTGATGGCTGGGGTGGGCGAGTTCTCCGTGTCCATCACGGGTAGGACTAAGGGCGATTGGCTCCGTTTTCCTCAAGAGAGATGTAGCTTATACTGGGAAATACGTAGCAAGGGCAAGGGGGGAAAGAGCTACCCCGGGGAGCTGGGCAAGCCCTTTCCAGGAGAAGCTAGACAAGAAGTTGAGTGTGATTCTGCCAAGCACCCTCTGGGCATCTCTGACCCAGCCTCAGTTTTCCTCTGAACCAGCTACTGAGGGCTGTGCAGACTCCAAAGTCGGCGCAAGTGCTCGCTTCCAGAAGCAGTGGATGAAAGCGTGGAGAAGCGGGGGCTCTTCTCTTCCAACAGGAGCAAGCTATCGTGACTAAGACCACCAACATCTCTATTCGCTTAGCCAACTTCTCTTTCTCAGTTCATACCTCTGTGCTGCCTGACAGTGTGTGAATCCTGCAGGAAAGGGGGAAGAGGAGAGAAAAGCAGAGCTTTGCACCTCATTTACAGTTTCTCGTTTGCCTCACGGGCACGAGAGCGAGCGGCACTGCAGCGGATGATGGCCGGAGGCAGCTTGCAGCAGCAGGCCAGCAACGTGCGGACAGCATGATGCGGTCACAGGGAGCAAGAAAATGGGGGTGGCGAGGGGGGGCCCGCTGCTCTAACATGTGCATTGCAGATGGGTAGCAAACTGGTAGTGGTTGTGAAAGACAGTTGGGAGCTCTTCTTATTCTGTGTTGATTTAGAAAATGCTGATTTGCTTAACTAGTCATTTTTTGGCAGGCTCCTCCACTTATGGAGGAGTTAGAGAAAATACTCAGGGGCCCGTAAATCAAAGGAAGTTTGAGAGTTACTGGCAAAGCTGGAAAATTTGGCTGCTTTTGGAAATAGCCAAGTTTAGTGGAAGGGGTAGGTTCAAATTTCTGCTCTGCCTGATTCGCAGGGGCTTGAAGCCGAGCTTCCCGCTGCGTGGAAGAGTGCTTGCACCTCCAAGAGCAGCGAAAGCATTCAGGAGAGGGGCTGCTGCCTCTTGTTTTGTGAACACTTCGTTAAAGGTCTTGGATCTATGCTGATTTGGAAGAAGAAAAAAATTAAATATAAAAAGAAAGAAATTTGTTGTGGCACAGGAGGAAAGCTGCTTTCTTCCCAAGTCCAATGATGACACTGGCATACAACTTATTAAAGTGTGTGCTGTGTCCTCTGTATAAATAACTGAATCCTTTTAAAACTATTTTGCCATATATTAATCCAATTTTATTTATAAATAGATTATTAGCTTATTCCTAGTTAGAGAGAATCACTGTGTATGTTAACTAGACATCCTTTTTGTAGGGCCATTTAAACTTGCCATGCAGATGCCTTCTTGAGACAAATTTCTACAACAGTTCTCAGCTACTTCATGTAGCCCTAGGATGAAAATTTCTTGGTTTAGCATTTTTCCTTTGTGGATATAAAGCTTTTTATTCCACCCCACCCCCCTTCCTTCTCATGTACATATATGCCTCAAGCTCAACAAACACATGGGAAAATCTTCCCTTGCACTTCTCCTATCCCAGTGTCTACTGGTGACTTCATTTATTTCTGCCGAACCCACTTTGTCCATTAACCATAAAATCACAGTGGAATTTCTACCGAATAGCTGAGCATGTTTACAAGAGCAGATGCGTATTTATACAGCAGACACCAGAGGAACGTGCGGTTGGCTACGGGGTGCAAAGCCTGCCCTTTGCCTATGACATGCAGTTGGCTTTCCAAATTATTTCCCCCTCACAGCTGATAGGCGTTGACTTTGGCAGCATCGTTAGTGATAGACCATATATCATCGTTAATTGTATCTGCTGAAAGGCTTCAAAGACTTCTGGTATCCTTCTCGATAAAAACAATGTATTTTCTCATTCAAGTTATTTTTACATAGGTCTCTAGTGCGTGGCTATTAAGTATACTTTCAACCCTATTTAGCTGCACTTTATATCCTTAAACTGACATATGTTTGAAGAGCGCAGTATTTGTATGGGGCCGAATTAAAATATAGAGTTTTGCCTCTTGCTTTAAAGAAAGCTTAATAATTAAACTCAGATTGACACAGATCAAAACATTGGCAAAAATTGCTGGAAACAGTGACTCATTTTTTTATTTCAATTAACAGTTTCTCAGTTTCACATATAAACAGTGAAACTGTCAAAAATAATTATCACAGAGAGGAAAAAAAAACCATTTCACTCCAAGGTAAGGAAAATGGGCTAAAACAATAGCTGTGTGTACTGATCATGCTATCAATGAACTGAACCGAATCAGAGAGCTTTTTTTCTTCTCTTGGCAGGAATCTAGTTAGTACTTATTTTTATGTTCTTTGAAATACTAATATATTTGCTTGTCTAATAACCTCTGT